TTTGTCTTAGCTTGGTGTATTTTGACATAGGCAGATGTAAGTATTCCTGTCCTAAATTCTTAACATGACAGAAAAATAATCTATTTATTTTATCCTGGGTTTATTGAATAGACAAGGATAGAAACCAGTGTTTTCACACGCTGCCATCATACTGCTGCACACCTTTTCATTTCTGAATGTTGTATTTTTCCCACTACTATAGACAAAAATTCTGTTCAGAAGTAAACGGCATGAGTGATTAATGTATGAACTATGAAGATGCTTGCAAAACTTCTCTTTAGATTAAAGCAAGTACAGGCTAAATTTCAAGGCATTTTTTTTCTCTGTGGCTTTGTAAAGAGATGATTTAGATGTCTAGCACAGAAATGTGCTAGACACTGTGATAGATAAAAGATCATGAAAGACTTTTCTGTGAATATTACCAATTACTGTGTGCTAACAAGCTCTTAAAAACCTTCCCAGGAACTGCTGAAGTTTTTATAACTCATAGGCAAGGATCATCACACCTACAGCTGACTCGTAACAAACTTTTTGATATGTTGACCCCAAACCCATCTCTTCAGACTCTCCAATGAGAGACACTTGGTTATGATAAATTTAGTCTAAAAATGCACAGGAGGTTTTCAGTGCAAAAGACAACCATATCCATAATGAAAGGAAAGACGACCGTATCATAATGAATGAGGGTGATTTTGTAAAACTGAACACTGTGATACTGAGAATAAATCCTACAACTGCAGCGAGTCTTTAAAGCTGTTTACAGATGTGACTACTATGATCCTTACCATTAGGCACATTTTAATCTACAATAATCATAATCATCAGTTTGAGAAGGCTCTCGGATAGCCACTACTGGAAACTGACGCAAAGCGTGTGTGCAAAAAACACCAAACTCGTCTGAGCAGCAGGGGAAACCAACGTGTCTATCCAGATGCATATGGAAGCGCAGAACAGATAATACAACACATCACAGAAATAGGTAATAAGATGAGATAGTAAAAACCCATCAACATACATCATCTGATCATTGTATAGTGTCATTTCCCAGCCTCTATTAGCTCTTGCTGCATCAGTGCAAGTCCCAGACACTTTATCCTGTTTATAATTGCTGATGAGCAGTAATAAGGCCTCCATGCCTCAGCTCCTGTCCGTTCCACTTCAGTGCCCACCTATTAGGTTATAACTTTTATTTACAGCCTTGCTTGATGCGGTGTTCTATTAGTACAGCTGGAAACTGAGCAGGGGAAAAAAAAGAGCATCTCTAATGGGCACTATTATTGCCAGGGCTGGGTGATTTATAATGGTTTTTGAAGGCTGTTCTATCATCGCTTTCCTCTTGGTGTGAGAGCTCTAAGAAGGTTGGATTTCTAACACTGTGTCCTCCAAAAGTCAAACGCTGAAGAATACCTTAGAAGTCCCTACAAGCAACAATAACACAATAACTCTAAGTTGCTTTAACGTTATAAACTCTGTTCACTAATCTTTCGTATAGTCTTTGCAAAGGCACTTACGCACATCAGAGGAATAAAAAAAAAATCTAGTTAGTGGTAGACCAGGTCTTTCTGTCTTTACTCAACACATGCGGATTAAGAAAACGATCACACAAAATGTTTTCTTGGAATCCGCTGTGGCTAAAAATTTGTGGATTTGTATTTCCGGAGCCTGCCCTTTCTGTAACTCCTAAAAGGCTGTCGTCTTGATAGTCAAGGTTCAGCCTCAGAGTGTCAGTATGCGAACATCAATAAACCTGAAACTCCAAAAAAAAGGACCGTGCATCTGCTTAACCGCTTTGCTGAAGAACCCTTTGCATCTTCTAGACTCAAACTTTAAACTAGAGAAGACACAGAGCATATGGCAGATCCTACACAAAGTAAGTACCACCATACCCATCTAGGACAGATATCCTCATAAAATGTAAGCTCTCTGCACATATATCTACGCAGAGTATTACTGATACATGTTTCTCAAGAACCTCCACTGAGAAATAAAGTATTTAAAAACTCACCAACTTTATGGATATAATCTATGGATTGACTGTTTCATTACTGCATTTTAACAGTCTGCTTCTATTACTCTCTCTACCACACAATTAAAAATTAACTGAGCGCACTCAAACAGTTCCAGTGACTTTTTCCAGGTTTCTTTAAGCTGCATGAAAATGTTTTAAAATCTGGCTCTTTTGAATCGCATATTCAATCATCTTTAGGTTCCACAGCAGAAAAAGAAGAGTAATATGCTACTTAGTACTGCACTTTCACAACACAGGCACCCAATATAAATGGGATCTGGATGCCCTACTGACTAGAGCAAGCCTCAGAGTATCTGCCATCATTACTTAGAACATTACATCATTACTAAGAACATTACTTAACTATTAAGAAACAAATCAAAATACATAAAAAGCTATACGCCATGCCACAGTCCCATCTTTTTCCCTACAAAACCTTCAGACCATTGGCTCTCCGAAACCTTCAAGGCATCATCCAAATTAATGATTGCAAGTCCTTACTCATTCTTTTCATTATAATCCTTGTCCTATGGGCACACTTCAGAATATAAATACTTTTTACCACAGCAGTGACTCTGGCAAAGAGGAGGGAAAAAACTCCCACCACTATTTGGTGTCATAATACAATTTTTTATCTGAACAGCTCCTCCAGCATGCAAGCTGACAAGTGCATGAGGTAAAAACTGTTTTTCGTAAAAGAACTTTTCCTGAGTCTTGACAGATTTATTGTTTTGATCTTTCTTCAATGGTTATATTAATGCTAATAAAATATGAAAGGTTTATGCCTTCCTTAATATCCTCCTGATGGGAACCTGCATGCAACATATGTAGGTCAAATTTCTAATTTTCTGTCTCAAATGCTGATATATGGCAGACTTTAGGGAAAAACTATGCTTGAAGGGAAAAAATTACACAGATGAATTCCACCAAAACATTCTTTCTTCAAAGCACTCTAGAGCAGAAGAAATGTTGAATTCTTACTGAAGAGAGGTTTATATGCAATGTGTGGTGTTGAAAAACATTGCTCATACTCACCTAAATAATATCCTAGGAAAGGAGACTACACTGAAGTGAATGTAGTGTGAAATACTGACCTACATAGTCTGCTTCCTAAGCCTGAAGATATCATAACGTTTCTGGCAAATATGTTATAGCCAATGTTTTCCTGTCAATTCCCATATTTATCTCGATTCTCAAATGCAGACTTGGCAAAGATATTTCTTTTCCAAACGGCACTGAAAACTTTGCTGAAAACGCAAGCTCTGAAGAAAAGTGGCCCTCCTGTTAACAGGTTTATTAGTGTAGGGGACTACAAACAAAGTATGCAAGTCACCGAGCATATAGTGAAAAAAATGGGGAAAAATGATACAATATGAAGCCACTAGAATTAATAGACTGAAGATTAAACTTGTGGCATCAAATTAAAAATCTCCTTATTTTCTTGTTAAACACATCATATGATTAACATACAGGCATGTAGGATAGCAAATATTAGCATAAACTAAAAATAAGAGCTACTAAGTGAAGTTAGCCAACCATTTCATGGCTACTTTTCAACATGTCTAGTAGTTTCAATGGCTTTACTCTCAGGAGCTTTTACCGTCCTGTGGATTTTTTCTTTTTGCTAATCACATTTTTTATTTTTAATATTCACATAGTGCTCTTAGTTTTCAATATGTGTAACATCACCAAAAGCTTTTAAAATACCCTGCAATGAAAATCAGAGTTAAATGCTACAACCACTAACACAAAGAATACACAATTTAGTAACACCATCGTGATGCAGATTCATTTGCAAGGGAAACAGTGGCAAACACCCCTTGTTGTTTAGGCATGCTTCCGTATCTACATGAAAAAGAATCCACAGTCTTCATATTCTGGAGAAGCTGAATCACGCACCTTCCAGGGCCAAACGTACAAAGTTCTTTGACAAACAGTATTTACAACATTGTCACAGATTATCCTGCATTATTTGAGAGCTCTGTACCTTCAGCAAACACGTTACTGTAGCTTCTCTTAAACTTCCTTCACTGCAGACCAAGCAAGCTAATACCATGCACACACAGAATAATCACAGTTCAGCCAAATGTATAGTAGCTTGAAACAATTTTTGATAGAATGACCTTAGAGGAAATTTACCTTAAACTCCTGAAAGAGCAAGAGTCCTTAATCAAATGGGAAGACATTTCCTTTCTGCATTTAATCCAGCTAAATTAGTATTTTAATGCAAATATAGGCAAAAACCATTTTGGAAACACAGACTGCTAGAACATTAACACTACCTAGATGCCTGTCAGTGCCTCTCCACAGGAGATTATGGCTTTCCAAAACAGTGTTTGTGGAAAGGATCGTAGGAGTTCTCCTTAACCCACTGCAAAACCAAACCCTGAAAAATGTCTGAGCCAACACAGATAGTTTGGTTGCCTGCCTGAAAGTGCTGGTATGATTCTTTATGACAAATCTGCTGCAGAAGCAGCACCTTCAGCCTTGCAATGATCTAACATATCACTAGCTCTGAGAGAGATCATCTAGTCTATAGCCTCCATGTAGAAATAAAAATCACCAAAAAGACCCAAAGCAGGTAAAATTTAGTATTGCTTAAAGTAAACATCACCTGTCTCTACTGCATCTTCAATTAGAAAACTCAAAGAAGTTTTCTCCTTTGATACTTCACATTTAATGCAAGGATTTCCAGAATATTACAAAAATCATTACACTTAAATCAAACTAATCACTTATGTGTTTCTTAGGTTTACAAAGTTTAACTGGAAACATAGTGCACTTAGGGAATTACTTTTGACCAGACTCTCTCATGGGCCATCTGCCATACACATCCTTTTATGTTTATACACATTTTTCTGACAGCAAATCGAAAACGTTTATTTTTATTTGACATTCTCCAGGTACAGTTGCTACCCTTGATCATTAAACTATATATGTACAGCCACACGCTACGCGAAACCCAACTTGTCAACCCCCACAAAACACGTACCTGAGTCGCAAGATCTTTTGGTTGGTGTGGTTAATGAGGCATGAGCTGTACCTGTGCATGGCCCACCTGAAAACAGAGAGGATTGTAAGTCTCTTAAATACCACCTATATTTAACACTTAAAACCACATCAGAATTATACTTAGGAACGTAAAAAAACTTAGGAGGACTTGTCTTTGGAATGCACATAAAGAAGTATTTTACTACTGTCAGTATCTCCTTCCCACCAAGTCTGAATACATCTTTAGCTGAAAAAAAAACACAGATGAGAAGTAGGGGAGAAGAGACAATTTATGTTATTACTTCACAACTTTTTTAAGAGACGGATTTAGGAAAATATACATCGTAATTGCAATTTTTCCAGCATTGACAAAAGGTGCTGTTTATGTTGGAACAAAGCTAAAAACTTATCTAACCAACCCACAACTAACACACTGGAGGAACTGATCACTTCCCTTATGTCAACAGAAATTCTGTCACTGTCTCCAGTCAGATAATGACTTTGCCTCTTATCTTGTTCTCATTATGTTTTCAAAGTGTGGCACAAGCATATGCTAATGACCTCTTTCCATGCTGAAGTTTTTTGTTGAACTCTGGACTCTTGCCCACTCATCTGGTATCTACTTGGTAGTAAATTGCTTTCTGGCTTTCTTCTCAACATGCATCATCATTGGAGAGTTCTCCAGAGATCTTGTTAAAATAGCAACCAATTCAGTGTATTCAGCAACTTGCAGCAGTAATAAATAAATAAAAATAAAACCTACACAGTGAAGCCAAGACAACCTGAGAGTAGCATTGCCAGTGGTAATGATACATCATAGCTTTGATAATTGGATATTATAAATTGGATGATGCTAGAGAGCCTGAAATTAAGTTAGATCTAGTAGAGGTTTGGCTAGCAAAATACCAATAATCAAGTTTGCACTGGACTGCTGGTAATATAGTAGTACCATGCTGACAATACAAGAGCTGAGTATTGTGACAGGGTAAGCTTTAACATAAGTCTTTACCCACTAAGAAACACTTTTTCCTCTTTTCGCCCCCCTCCAGTTTATGAGCATCCAGAAAGAAGGCTGGGCTTTGGCAATCTTTTTGTCTTTTTAAATATTTTTGAAATTTGACCTGGTAGTAAACCATTTATTTTTGACTCTCTCAGAGATGTCCTGTCCCTCCCTCCCTCTCTCCTCCCTCCCCTTCATTTTTTTCTTTTATTTCTATTTCTCTCAGTACCAGCTCTTAGGTAACTTTATCTGCACTATAATACTTGTAGCATCATAACACTATAAAAAAGAAAAGAAACTTAACCAATAGGGAGGGAAAGAGGTGAGGAAATTAATTTGATGCATTTGATTTAAGTTAAATGCATTTGGGAGCAAAGATCTCACTAGTTTTACAATTGCAGTTTTTCAGAGAAAGACTGATAAGCTTCCTGAGTTTTTTTGTTCTTCCAAAACAAAAAAAAAGAATCCCTCTGGCAACATACAGCATCTTGTAATCACACAAGAGGTAATCTTTAAAGTGATGGTTACAAAGGCAACCTGGTGAGGGTTCAGCCTGCAGGCAGACACTAGGCCATGGATTAGGGCCTAGCCTGGGGTTCTGCTAACCAAACAGGACACAAAGAACTACCGAAGGTGACAAAAGAAATATGCTGCATGTGACAGACACCTACATAAGCAGCTGAGAGAAGTTACAGCCAGCGTTATGGAGATGGCTGGATTTTTCAGGTTTTGAAAGACGGTTTTGTGAGAAATGATATAATAAACCAAACCTGTTGTCTTAGCACACAAGAAGAGCCAAACTGCTGTTGCTGTCCAGAGGACTGGGAGGCATGGGCTTAAATGCCTTCCCCGGCCAACAGGAAAACATCCAGGACAGATGGAGCAAGCACCCTGGTATCACCATGCTGGTACCCATTCCAGGCCTGACAGCATTGCCAAGCTTTGTAACCATTAGAAGCGGTCAAATAAGCTCAAACCAGTGTTTGTAACATATCTTCTTCCAGAATTCTTCTAGAATGTAAAAAAAATGGAAATATCAGATCGATCTATGCTAGCAATACTACTGCAGAAGGCTCAAAAAAAGGCCTACTCTAGGATTATGTGCATCTGGGAAGCAAAGATGTGGTTCTGCTTCCTGTATCAATAGTGAGTGCAACAGTGCCAAATTTTCTATTGGAAAAAATTATTTACCATATTATCTATTGGAACCTTTTGGATATTTATGCTGAAAAATGCACTGCCCATTTGTTAAGTCAGTCTCAAGTTCTAAAGATCAAGTATACAGTGGTTGCATACACACAAAATATACAACAGGATATGGGATTTCAATGAACTGAGCTTTGACCACAGCTACCTCTTAAGATGCAACAGCTCTTCTTTAATTACTTAGTTACATTCCTCCAGTTTCACTGAATAGGCATTGGCAGGCACCATCACCTTCGACCCTCTGTTAAGACTAATCTTTGCAATTACTGTACAATAATTATTTCCATTAGTTTATATTTTCAGCATCTGACTAAATATAAGATCTTTGTACTTTTCAGTCCCTAAAGTACAATGAGTTTGTATCTATTCTGCACTTTTCTGCGTTAGAGTTTTTGTTTTATTTAATCTTCTCTCATTAGGTATTACCTTCATAGAGCTTTGATTTGTATAGCACAACATTAAGGTTTCAACAAAGAATATTTGGGGATTTGCATGCACATACATGCCTAATGACAGTAGGCACGCACACTGCCTAATAACCAGTGAAGGCTTCCTGTCCTCCCTTCTGCTATTGTTTTTGTTCCATCATTAAAAATGTCATGCATAATTCAATACTATGTAGCATGGGCCTGACTGTGTAATTCTTCATGGAAGTCATTATATTGAATTTTTTGGTATACATAACATCCAATACAGACATATTATTGGAAACAGCAGCACATTTTCCATAGTTTTGATAAAAATTCTGCATGAGAGCAAAGCAAAGTCAGATACAGTAGAGCACCAGTCCTTCTTTGCTATACATAAAGGTAGGCTTATTACTTAGCATGTTTCAGGATATATCTATACCATTGTTCCCGAAAATAATTGTTTCCAGGGAATTTGACTGTGATACACAAAACACTTCAGTGCACAGCAAAAGGCCACACGTCTAGCTTCTAACATAACCCACAGGGCTGTACAGGCTACTGTTTTTTCTCAGTACAAGCAAGAGATTAAAATGGAAGAATAAAGATATCTTGCTATTCTATATCCAACTAACAGATTAAACAATAGCTTCTGTTCCTATTTTTTTTCCAGTGTGTGCCTTCTGACATTTGCAACTCCCTTTCCAAACAAAAGCAGCTGCTGCCCAGCCATAATCTAATTCCAAGAACAGAACATTAAAAATGCAAAAATACTAAAGAAATAATTGTAAGCATCACCAAGTCTGCAAGTTGAAAAGCAGAGTTAGGAACAGACAATACAAGATCCTTTACTTTGAACACTGTAATACATATAAAAGGTCTTGTTAATGTAGCTGCTATGTTTTTGATTTCTGATACCACTAGATTCTTATGACAAACTTTATACATCAGTTGGGAAAAACAGGTTATCAAATTACTAAGAACTGTGCAGCTCAATAAATAAGTAAATGTTTCAAAGCCATTTTCTCTGGAACATCTCTTAAGTAGTAAAATTTTATTCTTTATTACTTGTATTTCTATATATGTGTTAATACTATTAACTAGTATAATTTTTTATTTATGTTTAAATTGACTTTCTGAATGCCTTTCTGTATTGACCATCTCTCCTCCTGAAAGACTAATGACTGCCAAGTAGCACCAATCTTGCAGGACATGGCCTGAGTCACGGTAACTTGTTATTTCCCCATTTCTGGAGTTTCTGTAAAGCAGAGTGACTTCATTGAGTCAGACTTTCCTGTGCAGGAAAGAGCAAAGTCCTAGGGTAACCTCTCTTTGAACCCAGAATATTTGAGCCAGGTGTATTAGAATAGCACTGCAAAGTACAGCACTCGGAACAGCACCTATTAACCAGAGGAAGAGATGCAGAATGGAGTGAAGCCGTGCTTATACAAGAGTACAAAGCCTAAGAGTACAATAACACATTGAAACAATTATAGATAACACAAAATCTGTAAACCAGATAATGAATGAAAGTGAAAAATAAGTTACAGAGCCTGAAGCTTAGTAAGATTTGTTCGCAGTGGCAAAAATACACTTGAATGCTGCTTTGAGCCTTCAGTACTGTGATGGTTCTTCCTCCTCAGAAATAGTAGACCAGCTCTGTGTATGTAACAGGCAGGAAAAGGGTAATCATATAAGGGCTGAATATCCTTGGACAGCAGCGTTGTAGCCATGACAGAGAGAAATGTTATGGCTATACACATCATGGGAAAGAACACAACTTTGGAAACCCGTCCAAACCAGTAAATTAGCTGTGCATTTGCATTTGCTGAATCGGTAGAGACATAATCTAATTAATCTACACAATTGAGTTTGAAAACAGACATTGATTACAAACACAAATACATAAACGGGAATGTAAATCTCAAAATTCAGTCTGCACAGACAGAATAGCCTTTAAGGAAATAAAAGCAAGAGAATTTTACAACATTTAACTACTTATCTGCTGTAGGACATGTAAACTGCATGGTAATTTATGTCACATCATTACTAAACAGATAAGAAGATTAGATATCTAATCACATACAAATATAAGCTTCTAAAAATCTAGTTGTACAAATCTGCCATTATTTACTTTTATGGATTTTTATAAACAAATGGCTTTTTGAGAAAGAAACAAAACCAGTAGTAGCAAAGCAGTCCAGTTACATTTAACAACTGTAATGAAGTAAACTGGCAGGATTCAGATTCCACTTTATTCCCTAACATTGTCTGACTCCATTACCTGCTTTTCCTCAGTTTCCCCGTTTGTAAAGTAGCCATGATACTTTCCCACTTTATAGCTGTAATTTGAAGTGCAAAAACGGGCTTTTGAAACTGGCAGTTAAGTTATATTATTAGAAATAATTTTTATATAACCTTGATAGCTGTGCTGCTCTAGCCCACATTTTTATT